GCCGAAAAAAATGCGTTTAATCTAATTCAGTGGAGACCCAGAATTTCGGGTATCAAAGGAATTGAAGTCGGGCAAAGAGAGACTCTGAAGGTATCAGTTCAGTACTATTCCTCGTTGAAACAAAATCAGGTATCTGTTGCAGCGCAAAAGATCAATCTCGCCTGCTCCCTCATCAAGTTCGAGCCAAGGAAAAGCAGTTACCCGCGAAGACATTCTCGGTCAAGAAATGCGAAACCAGAACCTGCGGACCGAATTGTTGCAAAAGAGGACCATTCTGACTGATTTGAAGACGCAATTGGTCGAATCGAAAATTCGCTTAGCTGAGACGAAACTCCGGCAGTCCGAACTACGAATTCGCCAGGCGAATTTACAGATTCAATATTGGACGACGAAGAACTCACATTCCGGTTTATAGGATTATTCATTGAAGTTCAGGTGAGATAGTACTCTATTTTCACGTTCACATTCCAACAACAAGTCAATTCTCAAGATTTAGCCCAATAGTCATAATCCTATTTGCAGATCTGCATTCGACATGGAATATACCTGATATCCTTTACGGCGCAATATTGTTGTAGATCCGGTTAGCTCTTATATCCGCTCAAAAAAGAAGTACATGCCTACCTCTGTACCTCCGAAGGATCTCTTTTCATTCGTACTTGTTTATGTTTAGTGCTCTGATTGGTGTTTTGTTTTGAAGAAAAAAAATGAAGGCAAACTCGATTTCATTGTTCATTGTCACTACAGGCAATTACAACTCAGACAATGAGTAGAATATGCATTTCAAAGACATATAAATATACAACGCACACATAGATGACTACAACGCCCTGGGCGTTGCGATATAAAACTACCACAGGAGAGCTCCCGCTTTTTCGTCGAGCCTTTTTCGAAGCCTTTCATAATCATGGAGAACAGCGAAGCCTAAATTGCTTTTATAAGAATTTTGTCACGCCTTCTAGATAATCTTAGTTAGTGAACAAATCTTGTTAACCTAGAAGTAGTTTTCTATCAATTCTTCTCTACAAAAGTGAGAGCACTTTCGCTCGGGATCTCATCTGAGGGTCTCGACGGAACCTCCTCATCTTGGCGGTCCTCCCCAGTGTACTCATCGTAAGCGACAGGTTCGTTGTGCTGTATCGCTATGTTTCGTAGCACACAGCATGCTACGACTATCTCAGCCGCTCTTTCTGGGGAATACCTTTGAATGACATCGATTACGACTACTACTTATAGGGAAGCAACGTTCAGCAGTTTTCACCTGCACTCTCCGTGAAGGATGTGAAACTGCCGCTTTATCACACCAAAAGCCTGCTCGACACGAACGCGCGCAGAGCAGACAGCTCTATTGTAGCGTTCCTCTTTAAAGATTAATTTGGGACTAACATTACCAACAGGAAGTGAAAATAAATACCTTGTCTGTTTGTGGTGTGAGTATCGGCTTTAATAAAACGTCTCCGCGGCATACGCGGAATCCCCTATCAAGACACCTTGAACTTCTCCAGCCCTCAGCTGCTGGTACAGTGTCCGATGTCTTGAATACGTGGGAATCGTGTGCAGATCCGGGCCAGTTGGCGCATACCCACTCACCTTCATGTTGTAGTCTACCACGACTCCCACATTGATGCTGTGGTATCCTTTCCTGCACACAAAATCTTCCTCATTGTGGGTAGGTCGTTGTATTCGACAGTGTGTTCCGTCGATTACTCCGACAATTCCAGGTAGATGATATCTGCTGTAGAAGCTAGCGTTGATTCCTATGCTCTCCCTTTCGCTAGGCCAGGATATGTATTCGCTCGCCCTTCGATTTATGGCTCTGACGAAATTTTTGAGCACTCGAGATACAGTGGATTGATTGCACCCTGCTAGTCTTGCCGCATCACTCTGCATCACATTCCTCCCGAGCAGATGTATCGACATGCTCACTTGGTCAGCAACCGACATA